ATCAGGATGACGAGCATACAGAGCAAAGTAGGGACTGGTATGACGTAGAACAGGAGTGATTTGATAGTTGATCAGGCGAACTGCAGTAGCTACTGCTTCAGGCCAAAAACTACCAGGAACCCGGGAATCTAACAAGAGAGCACGCATGAGTTATACAACATGACGATTTTTACATTCTACAAGACCGTTTTGTTGAGAAATACCCGGACAGGACATCTGACTTAAAACCCCCATGGAACGATAGACATCATGTAAAGGAATAGAACTAAATTCTCCCCCGGGATCTGATCTGATAATTTTTATTGGACGATCAAACGTCTGAATCATTTTTAGGAACTCAATAACGACAGAACGAAGCTCACAGACTTCAATCGCAGAAAACAGACCCAAGTAAAACGCGTAGCATGATCGATGAACAGAGCAAAATATCTATATCCACGGCGAGAAAGAACAGGAGCCGGGCCCCACAGATCAGTGTGAATGATATGAAATGGTTCACTAATGACAGTATTGCTGGGAGGAAAAGATATACTAGCAGTTTTCGCTTCAACGCAACTAGTACAATAATGTTTGGCCGACAAATCAACAGTATTTTTACCAAGCAACGTATGGCGAAACATCATAGCAAGACGATCATTATTAGGATGACCTAACCGAGAATGCCAAAGACTCCAACCAATGTCAAGCTGACTCGAAAAACTGAAAGGTGCAGACAACAAAGACGGAACAGGACTAATGACAGGCCTACGGAAATGGCTACTGACGATAGACGAAACTGACGAATCTCGAAGCTCCTCCAGGTGAAATACTCTCCCTCGTTTACTCCCCCTTCCGATCTGCCTCCCCATCTTCAAATCCTGTATAACACATCCACACGGTGCAAACAACACAGAACAACCGCTATCAGTGAGTTGACCAACATAAACTAAATTTGGGACAAGGGTAGGAACATGGAGAGTATCAGATAAAGATATATGTGGATCGATGATAGAACCAACCCCATTAACACGTAATTGCTCGCCATTAGCCACTTGTAGCGCCATGTTTCGAACAGGAACAAGATGCTCAAGATTCTTTGCATTAGAGGTCATGTGATTGAAATAGGCAGAGTCTAAAAGCCAAGGAGATTGTTTACCTGATCCCTGTAGAGTAGCAAAGGCTGCGCCGATAGCTGTAGGTAGAGATTTTTGAAGGGCAGCATTCACCAATTGCTCTATATCGGCTGCAGACAAACTTCTGTGACCACCATTGGAGGTGGATCCCTCCACTGCTGTGGTAGCATAAGTGGGGCGAGCAGCCCTATCACCAACACGATCACCAAACCCGGACTGCCATGGCCCTCCTGATCGAGACGAACCGCCAGCAACATAAACTCCTTCAGTTGCATTACCATTGCGCGCCTCATTTCGCTGCCGACTACGGCATTCCAAGACAATGTGCCCGGTTCGTTTACAATAAACACAATAGTTTTTGCGGCGGCAATGCTTCTGCAGATGGCCCTTTTCGCGGCAATGATGACAGATGAGTTCAGATGCCGGAATTCGCTGCTGAAATTGCGGACGATTCACTGCATACGCAGAAGCATCCCCAGCGACAGCAATAACGACGGACTCCCCTGCACCAGGTCTCACATCGAGCTGAGATTGGGTCCGCAGCCTGATTTCCTCACGAACAAGATGCGGCAGCACACCATCAAGCTTGAGATCCTCTTTGTTCAACAAAGATGATAGTACTGATTCAAATTCGGGCCGTAAACACATAAGAAACGAGAGTAGCCGATTACGCTGTTTCTCCAACGACGTATCTTCAGAAAGAGCTTGCGGACGCAACGCCATAGAGACGAGGTCCTATTCTGTCCAAAGTTCTTGAGACAGGTTAAAATACTCAGTAACGGAGCGATCTCCTTGCTCCAATCGGGCCAATGCAAGCTGGATTTCGAACTGCCGGGCTGTACTAACAGTTGAATATGTAGAGGCCAGATGCCTCCACATTTGATTAGCCGTCGAAAAAAGGCAGAGACTCAAGCATGTCGATGGCTCGACCGATCCCAGCAGCAAAGATCGGACTCGAGCATCGTTCTGATTCTAGGCGGTGATGAGCTGGGCAGCGGCAGTTTCAGGTGGCTTTGGTGTCGTGCCATCGAGCACGCCAAGGAGGCCACGACCTTCAACAAAAACGCGGAACTTGAACTCCCACAAGGGGTAGTTCGTGGAGGTGAGACGAACAGTTGGTTTTTCAGATTCCATTGTCGAAAGCTCTGATACCATGTAACGCAATCACAAACGATGAACAGAAAGTAATAGACAGACCGATTTACGTGGTATCCCTAGAATTCCAGGACTAATCCACGGAAGAGTTGAGAACTCTTCGAGCACCAATTCACTAGACCGATCATAGTTTACAGTAGTGTGTTGTGTTCAACTACCGCCGCCCAAAACAAGTAAAAATACTAGTCTACAGCTAACCGAACCCTAGGAGAGGCATCTATACGTACGTCTCCTCTCCTTGCATGGGTTGCATGGGTCTAACCTAAGCACAATCACCATCCGTCCAAAATACATATGGCCCAGTACAATAAGTACAACAAAATAAAAGGAAAAACGAGCTACACTCGTCTAACACCTTGTTCGTCGGTAATATAATCAAGTAATGGAAGGGTTGGTGGTGCCTGCTCCGGGTATTGGGCGGCAGCCTAATGGTGGAGGGGGGTTGGTGGCGGCTACCCCTACTGCGCCGTTTCTCTATTTTGTGGACGAGGTGGTCAGCTCAGGATCGCATTCTTCTAGTGAGTTGGTAGTAGAGGATCAAGGGGATTCTATCCTTTTTGTGCAAGTCTTTGTTTATGCAGGTTTGACCGATCCATATTTGGCTGAATTGATGACGTTACGGGATGTGACTCGTTGGTGCTCTTTGAAGGGTCTCATGGAGGTTGCTTTCCTGGGAGATGCACAAACGGTTGTCTTCAAAATCAAGGGGCAGGAGGTTCGGGATGGATGTGGAGGGGCAATTCTTGCAGAGATCTCTCAATTGCGTCAAAAGTTTACAGAGTTTGATATTGACTATCGGTGCAGGCAAAACAATCGAGCGTCTCATGTTGTAGCAAAAAAAAAACTCTTTCTTTATTTCCTGCGGGTGGTTGGGTTTGATTTTTGTTAGTGGTTTATGTTCAGGTTGTAAACAGAGATCTATATTTTTTTTGGTAATTCAAGTGAGCTTTTGAAAAGAAAAAAAAAAGAATGGAATGGAATATATGGCCGGTACAGCCCTTCTTTTTAGAATTGTATTAATTAAATTTTAAGTCTTGGGATCCAAAAATTAACGTTGTACACCAAAATGACAAATTATGCAGCGTCACCACCGGTGAAAATAATTAAGAACACCATGAATAAATAAATATAACACGTGGGCGACTATTGGTGATGTTGAGTGGAACTAAGGGTGTGTATTTGATGGATTAATCCACAGTTTGATTTGGACTCATTTATAAATATTAAATAATCCAAATTGTATTTGGTGGGTGATTAATGTGTCTCGACCAAAGATCAACCATTTTCTATATGCACTTATTTGACGGCCGGGTGATGAGTGGGTTAGGAGTCATCCAATTGACTCGAACCCTACGTTCATATTACAGAGAATTGTTTTTCTTTACGTTATCGAATAATAAACATATGTTGAAATTTTCTAACAGGACCACACATTAACCATTGACTTATAAAGAAGGAAAATAGAGAATATTTTTGAACTACTATTATTGTTTACCATATTGTGTAATATTCATTATAAATTATAAGTTATATCAAAGCCAAAAATAGTGTCAATTCTCAGCACAATTGAGTGTTTTTTTTTTATAGAAATACCTGTATTATTTCATTAGAGTGTAAAAATAATACATGAATCACCTAAGAGCTGTGAAACTAAGAAAATAGGAGGTCTAGAAGCCCAAACTTTAGTTTCTTCCCAGTTACAACGAGTGTGGGCCATGAGATGGGCGGCCCGGTTACTATCTCAGCCCTAAAAGGAGACAGGAGTTGAGCCCAGCTTGTCCCGAAGCTCTTCACTGTCAATGCATTCTTTCGTGATCGACATTTCCTCTTTCCTCGATTTCTGCACAATACTCAGGCAGTCAGTCTCGATCTGGCAGGGGATCAAACCATACTCCGCAGCAAGCTCTGCACCCAGTCTGATTGCCCGACACTCCGCCGTCTCCGGCTCCCATTGTATCCGACTTCTTCTTACCTCAGCCAGTCTGAAATTGCCCTAGGTATCACGAATTACATTCCCAAATCCAGAATCCTCACCCTTGAAACATGCAACATCCACGTTCACTTTGAACTCCACTTCCAAAGGGGCTCCAACGGTACACTTTCCGGGAGCGTTTCCTGTGCATAATTCTATGATGACTAACCATGAGTAACCCAACTAGAATTCGTCACATCAGCGCCCTATCTCTTTCCTGGAAATACTTTAATTTTCCTCCGTTAATCTTAAAAAGACGATTTCTCACTCGTTAAGTTGGAATTTTTTTTTGCATAGTTAGATCAGAGTAATCGTGCTCTTTAAAATTATATACACTTTGATATATTTTTGGAAAAAAAAAGAGCATTTTTTTACCAGTCTATACCATATAGTATTGACTGGTATTAAATAAGAGCATACCAAATGATATAATATACCAAGACTGTGAGATGGTCGACTACATGATAGTAGTAGTATACTAACTATCATTTACGACTTTTAACATTGTGTACCACAAGATACCATTCGATATCGGCGTTCCAATCCAAACGGGTTCTATTGATTTTGACAAATGCTCCATAATTACCATTATTTAATTGAGTTGTTATGATCATTATACCTTTTCCTTTCCTTTAAAGCTGACAAGCTGTCTTTTATTAAATAAAACAAAAATCTAATCACGTCCAAAAAAAAAAAAAATCCTTCCATTTGTACGTCTAGCTATTTCTATAAATAGAGGGAAACTTAGTGGTAGACGTATCATTTCACAAAGCCAATATCGATCTAAAGTCACTTTAAAACCATCCTTCCCATCCCATCATCATCATCATCATGGCACAGGCGTTGCCACAGTATGTGATGCTGAAGAACAGAGACAACCTGCAATTCCTGCGTTACACAGACGAAGACATACAACAACATGGTTTCCTCCAGTACACGGGGGAGACAGTGATGAGCCCTCACGTCAGGTTCGAAGTCCAACAATCCAGGAGCGGGGGAGGTTTGGTCCATCTCAGGTGCGCCTACAACAACAAGTACTGGGTGCGAAGCTCTGAAACCGAGCTGTGGTTCGCCGCCGCGGCCGATGCCTCTGAAGAGGATCAATCCAAGTGGTCATGCACGCTCTTCAGGCCCGTCATCGCCGGCGCCGTGAACAACGACCACGGCAGCCAGAACCTCCTCCTCCGCTTCCTCCACGTCCAGCTCAACCGGTACGTCAGCCTGAGCCAATCCCCCGCGCCCATGGCCAACTTCGCCGTGGCCGGATCGTCTCCGTCCGACCCCACCAACTGGAGGGACATGTGCGAGGTCCTCGATTGTGAATCCCTCCTCGTGCTGCCCTGGCACGTGGCGTTCAAGGGCGACAACGAGAGGTTTCTCCGCGCTCGCGTGATCGAGAGGTTCAACTACCACGAGTTCGCGGGCACCACCATCAGCGAGGCCCAGGCGGGGAACGAGGTGTTCCAGAGCCCGGACGGGAGCATCCGCATCCGGTCGAACCACTACGGCCGGTTCTGGAGGCGCAGCCCCAACTGGATCTGGGGCGACTCCACGGACACCACGTCCAACAACCGAGACACCGTGTTCTGGCCCGTGAGGGCGCGCGGCCCCAACGTGGTCGCGCTGCGCAACGCGGGGAACGACCGGTTCTGCAGGCGCCTCACGACCGAAGGCAAAACTAACTGCCTCAACGCCGCGGACGAAACCCTAACGGCGTTGGGGATGCTGGAGGTGGGGGAATGGGTAAGGAAGAGGAGCATCTCCGACGTCCAGTTCAACCTCCTGGACGCTCGCATCTACAACCAGACCCCCCGAACCCTGGCCCGAACCGTCGTGAACAACGACTCCTCCCAAACCAACACGCCCGTTATTAGGTTCCGGTACCGGAACACGATAAGCCGGCACTGGCAGAGCACCGTGTCCTTTAGCTACGGGCTCTCCTCAAAGGTATCAGCCGGCATCCCGCTGTTCACGAACGCGTCACTTACGGTTCAGTGGGAGGCCTCGTCTGAATACGCCTGGGGCCAAACCGTCGAGACCTCCGAAGAGCAGGAACAGGAATACCCGGTCACGGTGGGTCCCTATACCAGGGCGACCATCACTTTTCAGGCAACGGAAGGGTTTTGCGACGTCCCTTTCTCCTACACTCAGACGGACGAACTCTTCGATGACAGGATCGTTACTACCCGAATGCACGACGGACTCTACACCGGCGCTAATCTCTACGAATACACATGGACAAACACTGAGGAGAGTCTCACCCCCGATCAGATCAAGCTCGCCCAAGAAGAGGAGAGGGTGGGGAAGAAGAACATGAAGAACGATGTCGAGCTCAAGGTGGAGCTAGGGGAGGCCGAGATCGTCAAACGCAAGGAGGAGGAAGAGGACATGATCGAGAAGCTCCACGACGACGACAAAAAAGAAGAATGATCGGATTCAACTTCATGGCCTGCCGGCGGGGGAAGGAGGGAGAGACGGAGCTTAATAAACGATTGATCACTCACTCTCAATCATTAGTAGTAACACTAAATAATAGCATCTCATCCCAGCCTACGTGGTCCCAAACGTTCTCCTACCCTCCATTTGTTTTTGTTTTGTTTTTTCGTTTTTAAGTTGTGTTTTGTACGTTTTCCCGGAATGATTATATTGATGTATTATGGTTAATATATTTGCCATATTATATATGTGTGAATGCATTTAAAGATTTACGGTTTTCGTAGTGTTTTGAATTATTAAAAAAAATCACTAGTACTGGAGACTGCGCTTCATGAAAGACAACTCATGCGATCGTCTAAATTAAACAGGCGTAAACACAAGTACAATCGAGAGCTAGCCTGGATTTGTTTATCCTTTTCGGGTATAATTAATTTTGAGATTTGGCTCAGTACGAATAAATTTGATAGGTAATACTATTGTTTGAGAACCTCTTAATTATATCTTGATAGTTGATTATGTGGGGAAATGAAAAAGACGTCCAAACTTTTAAGCGTAATCTACAAATCACACACTATGGTTCGAAAATGAGTTCATTTGTAAAGTCATGAATGAGCATTGAGTCATATATATGCTCCAGCATGCCCATCATTAAGCATATACCAATACCAACAATATCATTCACACGCCTACCCAATTGCAATGGCAACGCTAGCTAAAGAGAAATGCTCCAGCCACCACCTATCGCCCTCAAACCCCTAACATTGATAAAAATCACTTCACGGTAGGGGTGGCTATTTGGACCGGGATGAGATTAAAAATCGGAAACCGGACCGTATAACCCGGACCGAGACCGGACCGGGACCGGATAGTAAACAATCCAATCCAATCTTTGGGCTTAGATTTGAGGTAAAAAACCGGATAAAGACCGGATAAGAGAGTTCAACACCCAAAACTTAAGGGTAATTTGCATAAACGGTCACAAACCTTTGCACTTAGTACAAAACTTAACCAACTCCTCACCCTTTACGGCCTTAGGCCACTCAAATCCCACAATCTCAATGTAAAATCAAGACCGAATTGGGACCGGACCGGATCAAAACCGGACCGGATCAAGACCGGACTGTATCCAATCCAATCTTCGGTCCTTATATTTTCAAAAAGACCAGACTGGACCGGATCAATTTGGGCCAATTTAACCGGACCGGACCGTATAGCCACCCCTACTTCGCGGGTTCGCAGTCGGAGAGCGAAATCTTTGAGTTGCGCACATAGGTTGTATTTACAATACTGGATGAACCTTTTTTTTTATTGCCTCAGTTTGTCATCAAAGAAGTGTAACTCATTTGTACTAATATTTTTGGTAAGTGGATGAATCGCGCACCAGAACTAAGGGCTGTTATTTTACACTCGGAGAAGCTCGGCGAGAATGCCCTTCTGAGGCGCACAAGATGAGTTTCATGTAGCCTATCACTAGATTGTAATAACAAATAATATTTGTAATAACAGTTTCTTGTAGCCTATCACTAGATTGTAGACCAATTGGCAAATAGCTGAGCTAACTGAGGCTGCTCAGTTCTTGCTTTGTTGGAGGTCAGCAGTTCGGCCCTTATACATATCCAATCTTGGTGGGAGGTAAACAACCCACACATCTGCCTTATTAATTTTCGCACAAAAAATAGCCGTCTCTCCAGCCCCTCTAAAAACACAACAAAAAATAGCAGAAACACGAGCAATAGAGTGTTCAAATAGTTACGATTTTCGCAAAAAATCGTCGAGCACCCAAGATGAGTTGTTTAATTTTGGAAGCGACCGGTTGATAGTTTGTCGTGCGCAACGAAAGCAGTATCACGAACGTCTTAAAAAAAGCGACCTACTCCGCGACTCAGCTCCAGATTCGGTAACCATTCTTTTTGTTGTACCGTTACTAACAACTACTTCGTGGTAGACCCATGTCTTTGAAAGTAAACTGAGCATAGAGAAATTCCTTAACGTACCAAATGAGGCTCGCTGGAGATAATTGACTGCAGTGCTGATTTTGGAAACTCCTGATTCCAACGCTAATTGTGCTTCTCCGATCAACCTAATAATGGATAGATGGGCATGGACTTAATGTTACATATCAGTCGACTAAATGAAGTAATTTTCATAATAATTCTGAAATTAATCGTACAAAGTGTAAAGCAATACAAAGATGAGTGAACTCACCGAAAAATCATATCATAATGCACCCAATGCCCTTCTGAGCGTTTATTTCAAATGTGTTAATTATCTCAAAGTATCCACTAAATGCCCTCCGAACGTATATTTCAATTTTGGTATATAATCTCAAAATATGACAAGTTGTAATAACAAATAAACGTCCGATCTGTAACATACAGCTCGCTATCTGTCCTTTCAATCCTTAAGTAATTAATTTGTCGCTTCGGCTGAAATTATCGGCAAGTGGCTGGCCCTAATTAACTAAGAAAGAAGGAAAGGATCTAAACCTGCCCCTCCTCAAACTAAACAAAAGAATATTGAAAGAAACAAGAACAAAATAGTGGATAATAATTTGTATAAGATAAGGTGGAGACAGAACATAAAACTATGTAAATCGCGACGGCCATAAAGACAAATCAATTACTGGGGGATGATAGGCAGCGCTGATGATGGCGTGGTTCGCACTAAACCCCTTTTAATAACAATGATTAATTAAGGATTTAAAGGAAGATGGCTAAATGGGATCCTATGTATATATTTGGACGTATGTACGCAAGAGCAAGGTTATCAACGTTGATTTGGACACAGTGAGTAAAACGTGCGTCACATATTTGTGAGTCGATCGACCCGCAACAAGATTCTTGGATGACCTCGTTTTTATTGCATGTCTTTTTTTTTTTTTTGGTATTCTTGCTTTGTCTAATTTTATTATATATAGAAGTTTAGTTATTGTTGCCTAATCTTGCAAGTTGATAGGGCAACTATTATTTTTACATTTTCATAACCAAATTTAATTAAATTACAACTTAGTTACTATAATATACATTTTACATTTTGATACCCCAAATTTAATTTCAATGTAAAATTATTGAACAATTATGTTTTGTTATCTAAATTTTATGAGCTTTTCGTACCTACATTTTTAAAAAAATTTACATATTGGTTTAATGTTGCAATTTAATTAAATTTGGGCAACTATCATTTTTACTGTTCCCTAATCTTGCATGTTGATTGGGCAACTATCATTTTTTAATTTTCATACCCAAATCAAACCCATATATATGTCACCCATACCCTACCCATAATCAATGGGTCTACTTGAGTTTAGGTAAATATCAGCTATTAGCCAAAATTTTCAAAAATATTTCAATTGGACCGCCCTATATATCTTCTCAGTTAATATCATATTGTCAAGTCAATATTACTAACAAAACTGCTAATAAAAAATTAATTTTAGACTAATAATACAAACAAACGCCATAACTGGTGACATAATACATGCTCAATAACCATCTCCGCCCCGCGACAAGACGTGACATCGCCACCTAGTTACATTTGAAATTCCAAATTGAAACATTTGAAATTACCACCGCCGTCAAGGAAGTGCTCACCGTAAAGGTCCGACTTTTTTGTCTTTTTATCGACTGCCTGCCGGCGTCGGACGGGGTCGGGCCATCGAGATCAGACGGGTTTGCCGGAGGCGGCGCAGGCGATCGGATAGGGTCCAACCCAGGCGATCGGACGGGGCCCGACGCAGGCGATCGGACGGGGCCCGACGCAGGGGATCGGACGGGGCCCGACGCAGGCGATCGGACGGGCCCGACGCAGGCGATCGGACGGGCCCGACGCAGGCGATCGGACGGGGCCTGACGCAGGCGATCGGAAGGGGCCCGACGCAGGCGATCGGACGGGGCCCGACGCAGGCGATCGGACGGGGCCCGACGCAGGCGATCGGACGGGGCCCGACGCAGGCGATCGGACGGGGCTGAAGATATAAAAACCACCGGAGATGGAGGGTCGTTAGCTTATTCGATAGCTCCGGCGATGGTGGTCAGCCGACGGTTTGCTCTGGCGGTGGTGATCTGTCGGCGGGGGGGGGGGGGGGGGGGGGGGGGTAAATCCAGCGATGGTCGATCTGCCGACGATGGTTGTCCGATGATGGTGTGAGGGTGATGGAAGAAGTGTTGATGGGGCAAAAAAGTCATTTTAACTTAATACATGAACGACAAATAGTAAAGATATGAACGTCAAATAACAACCCTCTTTCATAAATGTGGATGGTGTTTATTAATTTACTAAGTGTATAGTGCTCTATCTATATGATCTTATATCTATCTGAGCGGGAACATACATATGTGCAGGAGATCGAACTAGCGTGAGTGCATCTGGGCGAACTCCATAGACACGAGTGACGACGACCCAGACATCGTGTTCTGACCCGTCAAGGTAGATGACAACATCACCACGCTGTGCTGTCAGGGCAACAACAATTTTGATTGTAATAGCTTTTTCTTTATCAGATTGGATTAGGGTTAGATCTTAGAGAAGTAGTGAAAATTGACTTATTATAGTCCTCTTGTAATTTGTATCTTCTCAAGTATAGTGAAAATGGACTCTTTCTTGCCCGTGGATCCACCTAGGAGTGGCTGTACGGCCCTATCCGCTTACATTGGACCGAATTGATCCGGTCTCGGTCCGGTCTTTTCGGGAATATAAGGACAAAAGATTAGATTGGATACAGTCCGGGTTTAATCTGGTCCGGTCTTGACCCGGTTTGGTCCCAATTCGGTCTTGATTTTAGATTGAGCTTGTGGGGATTGAGTGGCCTGAGGCCTTAAAGGGTGAGGAGTTGATTAAGATTTGGGTGTTGGGCTCTTTTATCCGTTCTTTATCCAATTTTCAGTGCGGTCTCGAACGATTTTTTACCTCAAATCTAAGCTCGAAGATAGAATTTGATTGTTTGCTATCCGGTCCCGGTCCGGGTTATACATTCCGGTTTATGGTAAAACCAAAAAATCCGGACCAAATAGCCTAGATTCACCTATCCTTTCCCAAACGAAATCCATCCATTTGTAGTTTCTATTTATAGAGAGAAACTTGCTTGTAGAGGAATCATACAGCTATCACGAAGCCAATATCTGAAGTAGTCTGCTTACAATTGATTTCTCAAAACCATCCTTCCCATCCCATCTCATCCCATCATCAATCTCCATGGCAGAGGAGCCTCAGGCGGCGGCGCTGGTGATCTCGAGGACGATGTACGACGTAGACTTCCGCCTCCAGTGCCCGCATCTACGGCCAGACCCCCATAACGGTGGGCCAAACCGTCGTTTCCAATCACACCGCCGAAGCCCAGACGTCCACGATGAGCTTCAGGTACGTTGACAAAAAACGCATGATTTGGCAGAGCAGCGTGTCCTCCACCTCACCGGTCAAGGCCACGATAACCAGCGTCGTTCCCTTTATCAACTCGGAAGGAGCCGTCGTGATCGGTTCGGATCAGCTAGTTAATATCAACTAATAAACCAATTGGTTCCAGTAACTAAAGAGAAAAAGAGTTTTTATTACGTTTTTTTTTTATATCTGACAGTCAGGGGTTCCGTACCCTTGGGGCAAAACCTACGAAGCCGCCACCTAGGAGTCGACAGTGAATTATATTAGGGACGTGTCTTAGTCCTTGTGTAATTGTATATCCTTGTCCTAGTGTAACTAGTATTAGTCTTTTACTTGTTGTACAATGTAATTGATGGATATAAATATACCCTTGTGCTTTGTTACACCCTACGTACAAGTAGAGAGTTGTCAGTTGTGTACGTAGTGTTTATTATTGTTTGTTCGGGGACTGTTTAGCAATTATCCTCTTGTCGAGTGATGCTAAGGGACATTAGTCCTTCCCCTATATATTTCCTGTCGTGTGCATGCTCCTGTGTGAGCTTGGTGTACTTTTCACAAAACCCTAATAAGAATCTCTAGCCGAAGACCCCTTGTGCGGGTCTTCCGTGGATTAGTCTTGTTCATGCCGAGCAAGGATACCACGTAAATCGCTGCGTATTGTTTGTTGCGTTCTCGTATTTCACATGCTTTCAATAACACTCACGTATTCAAACCCTAATAAATTACACAGTCGCGGTGGGTCCCAATTCTACGGTGACCGTCAGCCTGCTGGTGACGGAAGGGACTTTCGACGTCCCGTTCTCGTACACTCGGAGGGACCTATTCTCTCCGATGGGACGAACGTCGTTACCCGAATGGATGACGGGATCTTCACCGGAGTCAATGACTACAACTTAAGGTTGGAACAGAGGGTCATGACTGCCGACGAGATCAAACTCGCCAAGGAAGAGGAGGAGAAGGGGAAGAAGATTATCGCCGGCCGCCAAGAGGAGAAGACCACCGATAACGGAGCCTGCTGGCGAGCTTAATTGATTTATTCAGTAGTAAAACTAAATAATGGCATCCCTGTCGTTAGTTTCTCTTATATTGTCGAATTAATGTATTGTGAAGTTTGGTGTTTATTATTTTTTGTTCTCGATATTTAAGAACACTCCCCTTTTACGAGGAATGTCACTAGCTTGTGACTTTTCCCTTCAATGGAAAAGGACGTGATTTTTAAATGTTTAAAAGAAGGTATGTTTAGATAATGCAAGTATATTGATCTGTAACAATCTCAAAGAAAAAATAAAAGAAAGAAAGAATCAAATAACCCGTCAGTCTTCAATAAAATAAAGTAAAAGGAGGTGTCACACCAAGCTTCGAACCCATATGGAGACCGCAGGACCGGTCGATCCAATGAGATAACCCTCTGTTTGGAAAGAGATAAATGGGAGGAGGGTGCAAATATGTGAGGTAAATACAGTTTCCAACACATTTGTACATGTTTGGTTAATTTGGAACAATAGGGGTGCAAAACGTGAGTGCAAATTTACTGTTTCGGCTTACCCCCAAAATTGGGATGCAAGAGAAGGAAGGACGGAAGAGAGGGGAAGGGGGAGGAGAAATTATGAAATTTTATTTTTCTAATTGTGTTATATCAATATCATTAATGTAGACATTATTCGGGGTTGACCATTTGACTCCGGAAACAAGTTTATCAATGTTCGTCAAGTCAAATCTAGATTTCTTAGTTGACTCGAATTTAGAGATACAAAGTGTTTGTGGAAAAGATAGAGAGAAATTGTTTGGTTAACTTAGTTTATTTGACTAAATAGTTAAAACTTACAAATCCAGACGTGTTTAACTAAGTTTGACAATTTAAAATTAAACTAGACACGAAAACCCTATATAGGATGACGAGTTAAGAGTTGAGCTTCGAGTTTTGAGATAGCTCGATCAATAATTATTACAATTGTTATAATTAATTATTATGTGAGCATTATTATATAATAACCATTTTTATTAAAGTATATTTATTATTATATAATAATATTTATTTTATTATTTTGTGATAATATTTTATAATTTTAATAAATCTATTTTATAATAATATAATTACTTACTTTTCACTCTATTTGCACCCCCATACTTTTTCATCCAAACAATAATTTAGCCCTCCACTTACACCCTCCAGCAATTTGCACCCCCCCACAATTTGCACCCTAACTTGCACCCACCTGCAATTTGCACCCACTTGTTGCCAAACATAGCGTTAAGAATGTTTTTGCTTGCCTCATTGAAAATGTCCTTTTAAAACTTGAAGAGGAGGCTGGAAATGACTGAAAAAATTCCAGGATATACTAGTTCTTAAAAAATCTCAAAATACAGTAATTATAAAAATAATTCCCAAAATACACATGATTGTAAATCACCGTCGTTGTTCAATACAATGAGTTTAATCACCGTAATAGACAACAACGGTGAATATATCACTGCCGTTGAGAAAGACGGTGAACACATAACTACTCTTTTCACGATCAATTTTAGTTTGGTTGTAAACTTTTTGGTTGCAAAAGCTAATTTTTGTTGTAGTGTAATATTGGTTTTTTTTTTATCATTCAAAACACAATCGAAGTGTATTTGTAGGTTACGCTTATATATGCACCAAAAATGTTTGGAGGTCTTTATCATTTCCTTACATAACCAACGCGATCTAGATGATGAAGCACGTCTCAAACAATATGACCAATCAAATTTAATCGTATTGAACCAAATTTAATCGTATTGGACGATAGTATGAATCGCCCTCCATTTCGTCCATGATAGTTTATTTTTTATTCATTCAACACGAACAAAGATACACGAAAACGACAAATCTTCAATACATTCATAGATACACAATATGACAAATATATTAACCACGACAATACATCAAATTAACCATTACAGAAAAACAAACCACACCTTAAAAACGGGAAAAAAAAAACACAACAAAACAAAAACAAATGGACGTAGGATAAAATGGGGGGCCATGCACGAAGGCTGGGATATGGGGTGCCATTATTTAGGGTGTTACTACTGATTGAGAGAGTGAGTGATCAATCAATATATTAAGCTCCCTCCCTCCTTCCCCCCGCCGGCCGGCGACGGAAATAGAATCCGATTATTCTTCTTTGTCGCCGTCGAGCTTCTCGATCACGTCCTCTTCCTCTTCCTCGCGTTCCACGATCTCGGCCTCCCCCAGCTCCACCTTGAGCTCGACATCCTTCTTCTTCTTCCCCACCCCAACGTCTTCCTGGGCGAGCTTGATCTCGTCGGCGGGTAGTATACTCTCCTCGGTGTTTTCCCAATGGAATTCGTAGAGATTAGCGCCGGTGTAGAGCCCATCGTGCATCTCGGTAGCGACGACCCTACCATCGAAGAGTTCGTCCCTCTGAGTGTAGGAGAAAGGGACGTCGCAAAACCCTTGTGTTGCCTGAAAAGTGATGGTCGCCTCGGTATAGGGACCCACCGTGACCGGGTACTCCTGTTCCTGCTCTTCGGAGGTCTCGATGGTTTGGCCCCACGTGTATTCCGACGAGAGCTCCCATTGAATCGTGAGTGACGCGTCCGTGAACAGCGGGATGCCGGCTGACACCGTGGAGGATAGCCCGTAGCTGAAGGACACGGTGCTCTGCCAGTGCCGGCTTATCGTGTTCCGGTACCGGAACCTAATAACGGGCGTGTTGGTATGGGCGGTGGCGTTTCTAACGGTGGTTCGGGCCAGGGTTCGGGGGACCTGGTCGTAGATGCGGGCGTCCAGGAGGCGGAACCGGACGTTGGAAATGCTCCTCTTCCTCACCCACTCCCCGACCTCCAGCCTCCCGAACTCCGTTACGGTGTAGTCCGCGGCGTTGAGGCAGCTCGTCTTGCCTCCGTCCGTAAAGCGCTTGCAGTACCGCAAGGTCCCCGGGAGGCGCAGCGCCACCATGTTGGGCCCCACTCTCTCAGGCCAGAACACCGTGTCCATGTTGTTGGCGGTGGTATCGGTGGAGTCCCCCCAGATCCAGAAGTTGGGGCTGCGCCTCCAGAACATGCCGTAGTGGTTCGACCGGATGCGGATGCTCCCGTCCGGGTTCTCGAACACTTCGTTACTCGCGGTGGCCTCGCTGTTGCTGGTGCCTGAGAACTCGAGGTAGTTGGACCGTTCGATCACGCGAGCGCGGAGGAACCTGCCGTTGTCGCCCTTGAACACCACGTGCCTGGGCAGCACGAGGAGGGATTCCCAATCCCTGACCGCGAATTGGTCATCCACCATCTGGTTGGACGATTGTGTTCTGACGAAAAGGAAGTCTGTGTAGGGCCACTGGCCCCAAGGCGAAATGCCCACGTTCTGATCGAGCTGAACGTGGCGGAAACGGAAGTAGAGGTCTCGGCCACCGTTGCCGGTCGTCGCGGAGAATTGGTAGGTGGGCTTGAAGAGCGTGCACGACCACTTGGATTGGTCCTCTTCCGGGACGTCGGAGTGAGCGGCGATCCACATCTGGGTCGGGGAGGTTCGCACCCAGTACTTGTTGTTGTAGCAGGACCTGAGATGGACCAAGCCGCCTGAGACGGTCCTCGAGGGTTCGACTTCGAACTTGACGTAAGGGCTGTGGACTGGCGTTTCCCCAGTGAACTGGAGGTGACCGTGTTGTTGTATGTCGTCGTCTGTGAAACGCAGGTATTTCACGGCGGAACTGCTCCTCAACCTCACGTATCTTGGCAACGCCACCGAACGCTCTTCTGCCATGATGAGATGGGAAGGATTGTTCTCGAAATTGGAAGTGATCGACTTTAGGTATTGGCTTTGTGATAACTGTATGATACCTCTACCACCGAGTTTCCCCCTCTATTTATAGGAATAATGGTCCTATCCGATATCCCATTTGATGGAGGAGTTTTTCGAGAAATATCACTGTTTTAATAAAATTTGACAAAAATAGTATCCTATCCTGAAAATTTACAAAAATAACACTTATTTTCAAAAAAAACCGCAGGGTGGGGACAGGGGCGGTTTTGCTAACCGCATGGGGCCGGGGCGGTTTGGCAACCGTGCCTCTACCCTGAGGTTTTCGTGTAAACCGCTGGGTGGGGTGGCGGTTTTTGGGAAAGGGTGTTATTTTTAGAATTTTTCGTGGTTTGGTGCTATTTTTGTAAATTTTTTTTAAAACAGTGCTATTTCTGGAAAAAAATCCTTTGATGGAGGCATTAAGAGAGTATTGAACATTCGGTCTTTTCAATTGAACAGTTGAGAGGCGATGCAACTCAACCTCCTTAAGTGATTCCATTTTGAGAGGTTTACTCTATTTGAGGGGTTTGTCCCCTAACCATGCAGTTATGGCCTCTTGCATTATTAAGTGAAGCACTTGTTTCGGCTAAGATTGTGAATTTTAGGGCTCGTTTGCTTGTTGGATTTGAAAATGAGGGTTTTGAATTTTCAAAACCTTTGGATTTATGATGAATTTGTTGCATTATGGATTTGGAAGAGTACATTGTTTGTATAGTTTGTTTTTGTTATAGATTAATGATGGATTTGTTCACATTTTGTCTTCCATTATCAAATCCCAAATGAAATGAGGGATTTGCAAATCCGTGGGGTCCACAAATTTGGATCTAAAAAATGGGTCCAAATCCGTGGGCGCCATAGATTTGTGTCCCTTAGCAAACAATGGACTTGTGCCAATTCCATTATGCTTGGGATTTGGGTACCAAATCCATCACCCAAATCCCACAAGCAAACGATACCTTAGTCTGTGGTAGCGGCCGGTTATGCTTAATGAGCAATCTCAAAGCCTTGTTCTCCAAAATGTTTGGTCTATCATGGAAAATATGGAAATCTCGTAATAAAGTGGTTTTTTGAAACATTCAACCACATGCTCGTTCACTTGTCTGTCCGTTTGTTTTTCTCCAAGTTCATGAAGTCTCCAAGGCTTTATCTATTAGCTTCCCTGTATGCTCTCCTTTTTTTATCCTTCACTTCGGCTCCATCTCTTTGGGAGTACCCGCCTGAAGACCTTTTGAAGATTAACTTTAATGTTGCTCTCCAAGCCTCTGATTGCTCGTTGGGTGACACGCCTAAACACAACACCAAACTGCGACCAAGTGTAATCGCAGTCCGGAAATGCAGAATAGTGGCAAGTTCTAATTATCAACCCGGGGTCTAGATCTACTGCCTACTCCGTGATTATCTATTATCTAGCCAACTAAGTCGATTGATTGTTGTTTTAACTAAAAGAAGTAAGAAAGCAGGAATTGGTTCGGTTTTCTGAAGCAAAGGAAGAGTCACTCGGGAATGAGTCCCCCTAGCTCCTTAGTTAGGTCTCAGTTGTAATTACCCTGGGTTGATTTACTGTTGATTTAACTGCGACAGTAGCTTGGAATCTCTTAAACTGACCAAGCCCTCTCAGTCTAACTACCCGGCAGACGACTAGTCTTCACCGGGATAGAAAGCTGAAACAATAAGCACAGAACTCCACTACTGGAATTGGATTCCAGTACAAAGCAGTAGACTGACTAACTCTCGTATAGCCAATCTACTACTACCGAATGAAGAAGCTCTCACAACCTAATAAGATTCTATCTATCTCAGGTTGCAGCAGAAATCAAGAAAAGTTGATCAGACTTCAATCAATTCAATGAATCATGCATCATTCGATTAAAACCAAACAGTATAGCAATCCCAAGTCATTACAATCATGATCCCTAACGCATGGAACTAGGGTTCTTCATACCCAAGTGAGAGAAGGGTCTACTCCATAGAGAGAGAGAAAAACACAGAATACAAAGCAGTCATACTCATAACAATGGGAAGAATCTGCTCTGGGATGATGATTTTCACTCCTATGATGATCTCCAAGCTCGATTTGATGAAACCCAGCTCCAAGATCGCTTCTAGGGTGAGTTCTTCGCACTTTCTCTCTCTAGGGCTCTGTTTTTGCTCTGAAAAGTCGATTCCCTCACTTGTGGCTCGAAATTGGGTTAAAACCAGAATTCCCGACTCACACGGGCAGGCCACACGGCCGTGTGGCTTTCCCAGGCTGCCCGTGTGAGTGTGCGAAACGCAGAGTTTCAATTAAATGACTCCAGCCATCCCACACGGCCGTGTGGACTTCCAGGGTGCCCGTGTGAGTTCCCTGGAATTTCCACACGGCCACAAGGGGTCCCCTACACGACCGTGTGGCTTTTAGGCATGCCCGTGTGGCTTCTCAGCTTCTCGCCAAACGTCCAAAATTCGTCCAATCGACCCCGAACTCGTTCCCAAACATTCATTCACGTACTAGGACCTGAAATATCACAAACAAGCACAACCTAACGTGAAATCGGCCTAAAACACGAGAATCAACATCTCAAACGACTCAAGAATAGGGGTAAAAACATGTGCAATTAACGGTCTATCATTGGGCCTTGTTGTTCGTGGCTCGAACGAGCATGTTTTTCGGGCTCTTGCAGTTCAGTACCAGGGGGTGTCTGTTCCTTACCTTGCGGAACTACTTGTGGCTAGAGATGCTATTTCGGTTGCGGTCTCATGAAGGTTGTCTCGTTGCATCGTGAAAGGTGGTGCCGAAGTAGTCATTTGTTAACTTAGCCAAGATTTGGTGATGGATTCTCTAAGAGGGACCCTGCTTAGAGAATGTCGTCAAGTTATCGAGCCATTTTCTCTTTGTGTAGTTTTTAAGGAGATTTTGAGAGCCCTCGATTGAATTATTCCAATAGTGACACATAAAATCTTGTAATTATCTCTTATAGAGTTAACTTCCTTCGATTTTCTAGAGTGGCTCAACCCACTTTTGAAACGCCACAAAATGGTCCTGCAGAGGCGACGGTTTTCCTTTCATTTGCCTCGACAAGTGTATGCCCTCCAGCCCATGTTGCATGGTCCCTTTGCAGCTGCGGCTGTGTTCGTGAAAATGGTCCCGCAGCAAAGTACACCCCCACGTTACATGGTGTCCGTCGAAGGGTTATCGTATCCCCGTTGCAAAAGAAGATATTGAAATTGAAGGGTTAGGAGATAGGAGATAATAATTGTGGTCGAACATTATAGAAGCTCCAATATTATAGAATAAATAAATATATGAAACCAAGATAAATTACAAGGAAGATGACATTGCGCTTTAGCCAAAACCAATAATAGACATCGTCGCTTTAGCCAAAACCAATACAAGGAAGATGACATTGCGCTTTAGCCGATCGAGGACAAAACAAGCAAATATATGCGTTCCAGCGAAATCCCCACGTTTGGAATCGTCCAGAATTATGGCCTTCAAAATCGTCCAAATTCTGGAATGGATGGCCTTCAAAATCGTTAAAAATACTATTAAAAAGAAATGGATAAAAGATAGCCGACAAAATCAATGAAAAACTCCATTCCCAAAAATCTGGCAAATCTACGATGGATAGCTTTTAGAATTCCCCCAAAAATGGAATTCCCAAAAAATCGGTCATAATCTGTTACAGATAGCCTTGAAAACCGGTGAAAATTAGTATTCCCAAAAAATGGACAAAACATGTGATGGATAGATTTCAAAATTGGTGAAAAATAGCATTCCAAAAAATGGACCAAAACATGTGATGGATAGCCTTTAGAATTGGTGAATAATTCAAAAAAGTGACCATATATAGCCTAAAATTTAGTGAATAATAACATTCAAAATAATCGACCAAAAACTGTGATGGATAACCTTTTAAATTGATCATAAATAGGATTTCCAAAAATCGCCAAACATCTGTGATGGATAGCCTTCAAAATCGATGAGTAAAAGCATTAAAAATAATCGGCCAAAATATGTGATGGATAGCCTTCATGATTGATAAAAATAGCATTCCCAAAATCGGCCAAAATCTGTGATGGATAGCCTTCAAAGTCGATGAAAATAAGTGAAAAATATCTGTGATGGATAGTTTTCAAAAATTGGTGAAAATATGATTCTATAAAATTGGCCAAAATCTATGATGAATATCCTTTAGAATTGGTGAATAATTGCATTAAAATCGGTGAAAAATAGCATTCTACTAAATTAGTCAAAATTTGTGAAATGGTAGCCTTCAAAATCAATAAAAAAAATAGGATTTCCCAAAATTGGACAAAATCTTATATGGATAGCCTTCAAAATTGGTAAAATAAAAGATGACAAAAATAAGAGAAGATATGTGATGGATAATATTCAAAATTTGTGAAAAATAGCATTCCCAAAAATTGGCCACAATCTGTGAACTGTGATGGATAGCCGCCAAAATCAAGTAAAAATAGTATTCCCCATAATCGGCCAAATCTGTGATGGATAACATTTAAATTTGGTGAAAATTTGTATTTGAAAAAAGTGGCAAAAATATGTGAAGGATAGACATCAAAATCAGTGAATATTAGTATTCCAAAGAATAGGCAGAAATATGTGATGGATGGCCTTCAAAACCGGTAAAAAATAGCATTTCCAAAAATCAGTTTAAATATGTGGGTTATCCTTCAAAATTGATGAAAAATAGGATTCCCTAAAATCGGTCATAATCTGGTATGGTTAGCCTTCCAAATCGGCAAAAAATAGAATTCCCAAAACAAACAGACAAAATCAGTGGTGGATAGCCTTTAAAATTTGTGAATAATAGCATTAAGGGGTCGTTTGCTTCAAGGATTTGGTACATGGATTTGGTACCAAAAAACCAACTATCAAGGATTTAGGTACAATCCGTTGTTTGCTTGCAATTTTTTTGGAGACCAAATCCGTGGGGCCCACGGATTTTAAGGGTCCAAATCCGTGGACCCCACGGACTTATAAATCCCACATGTTGATGTGGGATTTGGAATATGGCATAAATCCTTGATGGCATTTTACCC